AACACATAAACTAGACGATGCATCAACAACAGCACATAATTTCAAGCATTATCTTTAAGTTTTGCAATTTTCGACATTTCAGAGATTTCAACAAAATTTTAAACTGCACCATTTTTATACGCCCTTTGTTAGACATAAGTTTTACTGTCAATCTATTTTTCGATATCAAGGATCCACAAATGTAGATTCTGACTACACAACGTGTTAGAGGAATACATTTATTACGTATGGGAATACAATTTATCAACGTTTCCGTTATCAGAGCCTGACAATACTTTTTTGTGGAAAAATCAACGATTTTTGGCGGACGTTTACAATATGTACTCTTTACTACATACGTAGTAAGACGAGAAAGTAGTATCGTGTGACGCAGTAAATCCATTTTAAAGCATCTTACTATGTTTCCTCCAATTCTCTTGTAAAGTACACTTTTGGAGAGAAAATGTGCGTTACGATTGATGATTTGTTTAAAATACTTTCGTAATACTGTACTGTTTGTTTATATATGTATATATATATATATATATATATATATATATATATATATAAGACACAAAGCAAATAAATGCTCCTCCAAAAGGTATTTACCCGTTACGTATTTTAATGACAGCTGTCTGTTAAGAACAATAAAAACAAATGAGTTGCTGAAGATGGTGAATGAGTACTTCCATTATAAGAAAATATTCTGATTTATATGCATATTTTCTTACTAAAAGGTGGTATTTTAAAAAGTAACTATTCAGGGACACACGGGCGATATTACAAATAACGGGCTTGGTTGATTATAAACCTGTGCTATCTTCTCAGTTCATCAACTTCACATCCGTCATTTGCTCTACATCGGCCTCACCACGTTAATCAGTTTTTTTCGTTTATACATAATTTCAACATATTTGTCTTCCCTCGACACACATAATGCATGTTTCTTTGTGTACAGAGAATGTAGTCTTAATGTTAGATTAGTCTAGGTCATTTACGTAACCTATACGTGACTAATTCCCACTACAAATACTGAAATTACTAGCTTTTATCCCCCTATTTTATTTACTAATTTATTCAATTGATAACTCTTTCTTTTTACGTCTATATTTAATTTAATTTTGCCAGCTGAGGTTTTCACATAGAATGCAACAATACTTACTTCTCAGTATCTGAATACTTTGTATTCTTCTTCGTGAAATACAGCATAAAAATAGCAGAAATGTTTATTTTCTGTTACATAATATACTCATTTTGCAATCTTCCTGTTTATATACTAACACGGCATGAAAAAAACGACAGTTTTATACCAATCTTATGATACCTTGACATTGTGCTATTGCTAAAAACCCACGAGTTCCGCATTAAACAGATTAACGGAAAAAAGTCTCACAAAAGCACGAGGATTATATTACAGGGAAAAAAAGAACAGGAGATGCAACAGACACATATTACGCGATAACGCATGCTACGAGAATCGTGATTCAAAAATTGAAACAATAAGCCCATGTACACTTAAATTCATTGTTTCGTCCAGGCACCCAACTGAAGTTTCTTATCACGTAATTTACCATTTAATTGATTGATTGGTGATACCGGCGCGTCAACTTCTAAGGTAATTAATCCTTTAAGTGTAGTGCAGGCATTTCCTCAGGAGGTGGCGCTGGATTCCCCTAATGGATGGTGAGATCCCGTTGAGTTCCTCTAGGCAGCTATTTTCTCTCTAAATACAATGATAGACGATCTGAGAAATGTTTGCAAGAAGGCAACCTGTATGGGCGAATTTTGATGATCTAAATAATTGCCAAAAAGTATCAATAACATCCACTTAAAATGCTTTAAAACGTTTTAAAACCAAAGAAATATGACGTAAAAATGTATCAAAACCAGTTCAGATGAACAACTCTAGCTGTTGGATATGTTACTAATGCAATCGAGGCATCTTCCTTTCATTCAAGTCAACTGGGTTAGAAATTGTTGGTTTGGACAGTTGTGTTTAAAGAAATATATGTGTTTATTTGTCGCAAAATAGGCCGAAATAGGCTGATAAGCATCACAGGAATCTTAGATTACATAGTACTCACATCAGCTGACAAAATGGTCGAAGAAATTGAATAGGGTACTCAAGAATTCTCTGGTGCATCTCATAAGCATTATTTAAAGCAAGTAGCTTTAAAATTATATTAATATCGATGAAATCAGCGAAAAGTGCTTTAAAATTACGGATTAAAAAAAGTTTTATTATTAGAAAAAAGATAAAAGAAACAAAAAATATAAACATTGGTCATTTCCTTGCGTCATAACATAAATATAATATCTACACTAGACGGCATCTTTTTAAAATGTAAAGAAAATTATGGCGTTCCATTAAAATCCGCCCTCTAGTTATAATCAATTCTGAACGCTTGATTTGTTAAAACTCTTTCATGTCTGTTAGTGACGAAAACATGTTCTTCGTAGTAAGCTATCAACCAACTGTTTCTTGTCTGATCAGCATTATTGTGGAAAAGAAGAGTTGACATGACGTATGCCGTAACAAACCCTCACATTCCCGACGAAATGTCGGCAAACAATTTACATGCAAGTACCTGCACTGAAGCTCGCTTTGTCCTTTGATTACTTCGCACATACGCCGTACTAGCATACGCCAAGAGCAGAAATAGTTTCTGTCAGTTAGACCTCCGAATGAACCCGTGACTAAGGGATAAGAGATGCCGAGAATGCCTTTGCCAACTTGACAGCTCTTTCTCTCTCCATTGGTCAATGAACCTCAGCACGGAGAAGGCGTGGCACGGGTCACAGTTGAAATATCTTCCGGCTCGCAAGGGGGCGGCAGGTCCATGTAATGTACTAGTCATGGTGATTTAGCATGGTCATCAACGAAATTCTTTCAGCTTGATGTAGTGTCCTGGGCTGGACGAGCTGCGGAATGTAGGACACGAAGTTTGTGGACTGAAGAAATTATTTCGAATGGGAAGGACGCTTTTAGGAGTTTGTTTACATGTAATATTAACGATATGATAGGTGTAGATATGAATCATAGCGAAAAAAAAGAATAATCAAGAGTACGTGTAATATAAGGAAGTTTAACGAAGATCATACGAAGTTCGTTTTAATGGCATCGTCGAAATTGAAGTTTGAGAATTGCAAAAATACATAGAAAGGTTTTAATTTTTTGAGGAATTATTAACCGTGTTGATAACTTCTTGAAGTAAATGATCATAATTCTAAGAAATGTAAACGTGAGAATATTGGTCTACAATTTTATAACAATATAAAAGTCTACAATTTTATATGTTTCCTCAATAATTTTAATTGTCATTTGCTATTTCGTTTCTATTTAAAATTAAGAATACAATTTAGAAGAAAAAGTAAATGCCATATATTTCTGGCAATATTCTTGATTTTATTTACGGATTGTGGTATATTTAAGAATTGATATTTCTGAGAAGACGTTTGTAATTCGAAATTTAGAAGGTATTTTTTCACACCCAAGTTTTAGGATATGGCTATCCTTAAGTCAAGATCGGTTTACTGCTCTGTATATTAATAAATTAAGACTACAGTTCTATGTGAAAAGATTGTGTGTGTGTGTGTGTGTGTGTGTGTGTCTGTGTGTGTGTGTGTAGGTGTGTCTAGAGGTTAAGGAAGTTTTTATGGATCTTCTGAAAATCTCTATTTAATGAGGGATCTGCTGGTCTGCTGTTCTTTCAACACAAGGTGAAAAAAATGAAGCTAACGTTAGGTACATATTGTTAATATTGTTGACCAGTTGTTTCACCGTTCTCGATAAATTCTAATGTAAATAATTCGTAACGAAAATTGATATCACTTTTGTTTCATTTTATGGCTATCCAATTTCTGTATTTCGAGAACTAGAAGGTTCATTATTGTGCATAAATTTTAGATTACAGCTAGCCCTAGGTGATAGGTTGAGATAGGTTTATTTCTCTCACTATTAATAAATTCAGAATACAGTTATATGAAAAAAGGTGTGGGGGATGGGTGAGAGGGTGTGGGTGTGATGGCGGTTCCATTCTGTGTTTTGGGAATCGATAAATCGAAGGATCTGTGGTTGTGTCCTCGTATCAAGAAAACTCATTCTAACGCACTTCTGCCCAACTATTTACAAGGAGACATCAAGACAATCTCTTTGGATTTGATTGTCTGATTGCCTAGTATTGCCGGGTACGTCGACTGCCTCGATTATTAGACCTGTAAGCGTAGTGCGTGTTTTGAACGCGAGAGGTGGCGTCGTCCTACATGATTTGCGGGGTTTTTCCCAACCAGGTATTTCCCGCCGGGACATGCTCTAAATTTCTGATTGGTCTTCTGACATTTGTGGTAATGTGGACATGTAAGTGTATGTAATGACAGAGCAAGAAAGAGGGGTCTTTTCCAAAATTTTTAGAAAGGACTCGGACCATCTGTTCTCTCCTGTGCAAGCCCTTGAAGGCGAAAAATTTCAAAATTTTTTTTTTGCTGATAAAACACCATTTCTGCTGATACGAAAGTTTCGGGTTGAGTGCCTATGTAGCCGCCCAGAGGTAATATAGAAAATGGAACAGTCAGCAGAAGCTAAAGGAGTAATCTGAATTCTATTCTACTCTTCCAGTGAGCTCAGAAAATATAGAGCCATGCATTTTTAACTCGATGTCCGAAATTTCCTTTCATGCTGCTAAGATCGTCAGAGAACGACAGTCAAAATATAAGCACTTCCAGGTTGCAATGCCACCTGAACAACTATAAAAATGCGATTTCATTTCACTGAAGAGTCGTTTGTGTTTATACTGTTGAGTCGAGGACGTTATTTTATGTAGATTCTTTGTACAGTGCTGTGACGCGGCACGCAGTTGGACTGACCAGAGAGTAAATATTTTTAATTCGCTAATATGACCGAGCGGGCCTCTAAAGAAGGACTTGAAACTTTGGACTTTCGAGGGGTGTGACCCTTAGAGCAACAGCATTGCTGAAGGCAATAACAAACCGAGCAGTAAGAATAGAGCAAGGAAAAGAAAGCATTACGAACAACGAAAGAAATAAGGGTTTCTCTATAATTTAAATTGGAATAACGTGAATTCAGATTCTCCGAATTGCTAGGAAGAGTAAACCGAGAGAGGATATAAGGAGGGCAGATCGGTTGTAGAGACCGTTAGAAGAGACCTTGAAGTAGACCTGGAAAGAAGACCAGCAGATGAGACCGTCCGAGAAAGCCGGTAGAGGAGACCGAGTGAGGAAACCAGGAAAGAAGATCGGCAGAGTAGACCGGAAGAGGAGGCTCGTAGATGAGGCCGCGAAAGAAGACCTGGAGAGGATACCTTGTGGAGAGACCGGGAAAGTAGCTCGGCAGATAAGACCGGCAGTGGAGATCAGCCGAGAAAGACTGGCAGAGAGGACCGGCAGAGATCGGCAGTGGAGACTGGCAGAGGAGACCGGCAGAGGAGACTGTAAGACAAGGCCATGACCGGAAAAAAAGACTTGCATATGAGATCGGCAACGAAGACAGTGCGGGGAGACCGGGAAAGAAGGCCGACAGATGAGACCGGAGGAGGAGACTGAGAGAGGAGAGACTTTTGGTACGGAACCGAACCGTACGTGAAGGACATAGAGGAGGGGGAGGTAAGGCACACACCGAGTCAGAGCGGGGCGATGTGTTGCGAGGCGGGACTGAAAACAGTGAAAATGGGTGGGTCAAGACGATGACCAGTGGTGCAAAGTGGAGCGGAGTGGATAGTGGTGGAGTGACGTGGGGAGGATTAATTGATAGAGATTCCGGGCACGTCAACTAATAGGGTCATTATTTTCACAAGTGTATTGCTCGGCTTGATTTTGCTCGGGAGGTCGTTTTTCCCGCTGTATGGCGAGATCCGGGGCCGACCTACCGTCGGCCAGTGGTTTATCCCCAACCAGGTATCTCTCACCAGCGGGGCAGCGCCACAGCTCTAAGCCACTCCCGGCATTGTTGCTAGTGTAGTGTGTGTTAGTGTATGTGGGTGAGGATAGGACAATGAAGAGGAAGGAAATATCGCTCGCGGTTCATGACCCGTTTCTTAGGATTCAGCTCGGCATTGGCGTGGTATTGATTGGGGAAACCACAGAAAAGTACTGATCAGGTAGCCCGTATAGGTGAAGGGATGAGAGCGGAAAGCCGAGGGTGGGGAACTTAGAGTACTCGCAGTTGGCGATAGCGTAGCGGATTGAGGGCTATGTCGTCAGCTTCTGTAGGAAGCGGTTGCGTGGACCGTCGGTACCCGCTGAGTTAGTAAGTTCAGAGCCAGCATTGCCGAAGTCTCCACGGCCAGACTGACCAAGAGATTTTACAGCTTTGAGTCTCGAAGGTGGCGGATTTTTGAAACTATCTAGATACGTATAGCCACATCGAATTTAGTCGTTGTCCAGAATTCTAGTGACGAGTTGCTCTGTCGGCACTTCTCCGATCACCACCAGGCGAATGCCAGTGCCCTAACGGGCCACGGATTTTCCTTACTTTCCTTTGTCTTCTTTCCTCCGTTCGTTACACTAAACGACCATGCACTACACTACCACACATGCCGAGAGAGCGGTCAGGAGCTTAGAGCTTGTCCCGGCTAGGACGGTGCACCGCTGATGGTACATACTTTATTGGGAGAATATCCCGCTGGACGATTGTACGTCGGCACCAGATCTTTCCATCAAGCGTCAACGCTCGAGAAAAAGATGCACTACACTTATGGGACCAATACCTTATCGGTTGGGGGGACCTGATTTACTAATAAATCACTCTTAAGCCTGTTTTACACGATCTTTTTTGCATCCTTTTTTAAAATACTTTTTCTGTACAGAAAAAGGATGGGAAAAGGACGTTCGTTTCTACGCAGTATGCTTCGGTGCCGAAATTGGATGAAAGTGATTGCAGCGTTTTACACGGTCACTTCTGGTCTTTGTACGTAATCGTGATGAAAATACTTCCTCCAGACGCCGCAAAAACCGCTGAAGATAAACATTTGAACATCGCACTCATGGTAACAAATTAAGTTAGGTTATGTCAGTATTGAGCACGGAACGTGATGACATTAGAACGTAGTACATCATTTATTTCTCACTACATATTCACTTCACACTACAATTCAACACATCGGAACGCTCTCGAAACTGCACAAAATAAACAAATCGCACCACACACATAACAAACCAGAGAACGTTCCAAAAAGTGACGCCAGGAGCGCGGCAGTCAAACTGGATGAAATCTATACCGAAAAATGAAGCGTGCGTCATTTTTTCGCTCAAATTACATCCAGTCTGGTCTGTCTCTTTGGTGTACCGGCGACAAATGATGGAAAAAATGATGGTGTACAACAGGGTTTACGATCGTCGATGGCGCCTGCGCCGTGGGGAGAACACCAGATGCCGCTGCGCCGGCGGGGTCGGACGAGCTATCGAGAGGTCGATGTCGGATTCCGACGAGCGGGTGCTCAAGGTTTCCTCCAAGCGGACGACATTGAAAGGCCGCGCGCAAACCGGTACCCGCTCCGGCGCCTTCAATTCGCTCGCACGCACGCACGCACGCACGCACGCGTGTCAAAGAACGCACACACAAACACAGTTGGATAGGGACGCACACGCATGCACTCACGTGCACAAACCGTATCCATGGAATGGCGCTTACGCACAGACATGCACTAATGCAATTCACGCACGCAGTAAGCGATCATGAATACGAAAACACACACACATAGAAGTACAAACCTAAACACACAGAAGCACCGCAAGAAGCAGAAAAACGGGACTATGGTCTTATCTTAAAATATAGAGAATTAAAATAATATCGTCTTAAATTACATTTTCAGTTCTTAAGATTCTACCATATTCACCTGTATCCGAAATTTTCTTTCCACTAGTGCTAGAACAACTATTTTTTATACTTATGAATGGAGAAGGAATTAAAATGTTTCCTCAGCCCCCGTCTCAAAACAGCAGCCGGGATGCAATAGGGATATGCGTTCTCAGGCAGCCCAATATAAAAGGGAATTAACTGCGATATGCAGGGTCGGCAACTGATGTGAAGTCCGAGTGGGTTATTTACGCCGGTGAGAGGACTCTCCCCCTCCTTCTGCCACAGGAAATGTATATGAAGCGAAATTTACAAAACATTTTTTCAAATTGTTATGTTTATCAGTAAATTACATTTATTTTATGTAACTTCAGCAGTTCATTTTTGCAACGCAAAACATCCTGCGCTTTGCATTTTTTATATAAACTCATTTAACAATTTGTGAAAATCGATTTTGTTTGTCATGTTGTTATAAACATGTAAAATCACAAAACGATTGAGCTGTTTTTGCAACATAGGTGATCGCATATACGTTTTGATCCAACGCAAGACCGAGAAAATTCGTTCATTTCTGGAAGTTGAAATTATGAAATATTTCTCTCGTTCCAAATTCCGAGTGGGTATTTTACCCACTCGACATTTGTCGCGTGGGTATAGCTACCCATCATACCCACATTTTTCGCCGGGCCTGGCGATGTGGATTGCAGGGAGATTGACCGCAAATACAATCGGGTGATTTTGCACCAACTACCGCTGTATCTCGCTTACTCGCTGACTCACGTACTCGCTGAACCTCTACCTACTGGAATCGCATTCTCACCCACCCACTCGTGTTGCTCACCACTCTTGAACTATTTTATCTATTGAAGGTTCACCCATCTCGCTCACTCATTCACTTACCAAACTGATGAATCCAGCGACTTAGGTGGTTCAGGGCATCAATTGATGTTACTTGAGTGTCTCTGGCCAGGAGGTTCTAGAATTCGAGTCCCGATTGTGCCAGGATTTTCGACACTAGCCAGAAGATAGCTAGCTCGAGGTCAGGAGCTAGCAAGATAGCTAGCTGGAGGAGAATTCTAGCAGCCGCCTGCTCTGATGCTTAATTTTGCGTGGTTTCTCCGATCAACACCAGGGGAATGCCGGAGCAGTTTCCTAACAAACGGGCCACGGACCACGCACGATCGTTCCTATCCCCACACCTAACTTACACTCACATGCACTACACTACAACATAAGTCTGGAGATCGGTCAGGAGCTTAGAGCGTATATCTTCTGAGGCGGTTCCCCACCGGTGGAAGATACCTGGTTGAGGAAAACGTCGCAGGTCGATGGGCGCTGGATCTCGCCATCCAGCGGCGGCAGATCACCGTCAAGCATTCCACTCACCGGACTAATCATTTTAGCAGTTGACGCCCCCGGATCCACGAAGCTCTCTTCTCAACCCAACGCAAACGGTTCTCCTCGGCCCTCCCCCTCAACACCTGCTCACCACCCACCGCCCAGCCGCCCGCTCACCCGCTCGCCGGGCGGTGTCGCAAGCGGCGGCGGCCGCCACCGCTGCAGGAATTCGGTCGCGAGCGCCCAACGCCAGGGGCAGGCCTGTCGCCACCAAACAATGCCGTTGACCCGCCCGCCAGGCGCTTCCAACTCGCGGTGGGCCCGAAACGCAAACAATTCACTAACAACAGCACCTACTTTCTAGCATTATTTGTAACGGTTACATGATACTATCATTCTACACAAACGTACATATGTATAATTTTTGAAAAATTAAAAAGTGTCATGAAAATAACGTTTATGTCATGATAATCAGTGCATTTAGCTTCATTCATTCAAAAGGTTTGGAGAGAAAAAATTGGGCGCCTGTTGTTGAGAAAATCATAATTATTATAGATACTTTTGTTGTATGCAATAATACGCAAAGTAACGGATATTTTGTAAAAGATTTGCATTGTGTATTTAATGCACTTATTATGGTATGTAACCTCTTGTAAAATTTTCAGTGCTTCACGTTGAGTGAGATTCTTTGCATAATGTCTATTTTGAAAAATATAATCAATTAGTTTAAGAGCTTGTTGTTTAATCATGTTTCTATGGACGGAAAGACAAGCAGTCCGACGGAAAAACAGACAAAAAATCACCAGATTGACAAATTGTAGCCACACAGACATTAAAACTGTTATTTGAAAACCTTTTTTGTAAGCGAGAACACTTAAAATACATATTTCTAGTTTGATATAACGTTTTTTTTCTTTTTGCAAGATTATAAAACCTTCGATTAAGAATACAAGAAAAATAGTTCTGTCATTATAACGAGCTAAGGGTGTTATCGTCTCGCTTATTCCTTGTGCGTCTGTTATTTTCCCATAGATAATCCGACTCTGTGACAAACTGGGATACGCTATAGCATGAAAAATGAAAGATAAAATAGAGTAACAATAACTTATATTTTTTTATTCAGATACGATACCACAAAGATATTAACAAACGCAATATTAACAAATGTTTTTATTAAAGAGTTTGAAAATTTCGGAACATTGTTTTATTATTCTAATTGCTTAATTATTCCACTCGACTGTTACATCTTAAGATCATTAAACAAATACCCTACTAATTATTATTTTATTACTTTGGATATGCACTATGACACACATATTGTATAACGTCTCTGGATTCCCGAGGTTGCCACTGCTTTCTGGATCCCCGAAGCTTGTCGACACTGCTTTCGATCAAAGGGAACTGGCCCATATGAGGAAGCGAATTAGCCCATCGTCCGACTCTAAGAATCGGAGAAAGGACAGAGTGCAATTGAAAGACTCACGACAGTTCCGTAACCTATTGTACACAGTGTTCTTTCGGTGTCCGCCTGGATTTTGATCAGAGAAAATTAATGGTGCTACGACGGACATTTCAACTGCTGTCCGGGGGAGACTTCTAGCGGCCGGCTGCTCTGATCGGTAGTTTCCCGTCGTTTTTCCTACCAACACCAGGTGAATGCTGAAGCAGCACCCTACGCAAACAGGCCACGGATTAATTGCGATATTTCCTTCCTTCTCCTTATCCTATCCTTAAATCTTACATACACACACATTAATATGCACTACACTACCGCCAGATGTCGGGTGCTTAGCGCCCGGCTGGGGCAGAGCCCCCCCCCCTCCTGGTGGGGGGTACCCAATAGGGGAAAATGCGACCGACCCAAGCTGACGGGTAGGTCGGTTCCAGATCTCGCCGG